TCATACAAATTTGAATGGACCGGCTGGAATTACCCCACGCAAAATAGCTTATCGGCTGGAATTACCCCATGTGGGGTAATTCCGGCCGGTTTGGAGGTCCCTGTCTCCTTTTGAACACTGGTCGAAAACGGAGAGGGATTTTTAGGAAATTTTTACATCAGCGGATCGAGAACTGTTAGTTCTATCTTCATATTCAATAGCACGCTTAGCCGATTAAAAACGCCTTAGAAATACGCAAAATACGCCATTCACTTTTGAGTTTTTTTTACTTCTGAGTGTCCCTTCAGGTTCAAAGTCCTTTTACACTCAAAGTGTAAGGCAGTTTAGAACGTCCGTAGGGAGCACGTAGAAGCGATTTTCGAAAAATCAAGTCGGCCACAAGATAGAGCTTAAAAAATACTACAAAACCTGCTAATAATCGCTTGTTTTGCGAAACTTGAACTTTACTATCGAAAAGGCTACTATAACTTTCCGCTTATTTTCACACGGCAAAAAATCTAACCGTTTCGCTTAGTATCAGCATTATTTGTTGATACTGAAAGTTTTCTGAAAACAGGATTATACAACAGATTTGAAGCAGCTTTAGAACGTTTCTTTTACTAGTAATTTTCATTTCCTTATCATTGAATTTTCATTTTACATCCTCGAAACATTAATTATCTAAAGCATACGCATCAGTAAGCAAACTTTAAACTCGTTCTATCCGTAAGCATCATTCTTGTTAAAAACACGCAAATACAGTTTTGAACGTCATCTCAAAATAGTTTATTTCGCAAAATTTATGAGCAGATCAAACTTCATAAAACTAGCGTAACAGTTAATTTTGCCGTGCGAACATAAGCGGAAAGTTATAGTAGCCTTTTCGATAGTAAAGTTCATCTGTTCAGGCTCACTTTATATGTGCGAGTAGCCCTTAGTTAGAAGAACATTTTTTGTTACAAGATCATATCGTGATTTTTTACTTCGGGTAGCAGTTACAACCTTTTTTCTGACGACAGATAAAAACGCCATGTATTTGAATGAAGCGGCCATCAACAGGAACAAAAAGTCGCTTGACTGCCATATTTGAGTACAGTTCGTATTTATGGCAGACCATACAGTTTGCTCTGTGGCGAAGATGAAGGTGAAAGCCCGATCTGTTTTCGATAAAAATAGTACCATTCGATTCCTTGATCAGAGGAACATTTCTATATATTTTGCTTTTAAAAAAGTTTAATTTTGTCCGTCAAAAAAACTATTTTTCTTCGATGGTCTAAAAAAAGCCGTATATTTGAATCTTTTTATCATTGTAATTAAGTTAAACTAAATTAGTTTTGAAAAGTTTTTACATAGTTGGATGGAGAATTGCCTCCTCTATCCTGGAATCTAAAATTCACTTTTACCACTTAAAAATGGCTGAGAAAATCGAGATTTACGAAAAAGACAACAGTCTTAATATATATGTGTTATATATATGAGTCAATTGCGGAATAAAAATTCCAAAATGCAGAAACTTGCGGAAAATTTTTCTCAGAATGCGGACAAAAAACGGAAACATATTTTCACGGGCTAACTTCATCCGTTTTCACGCACAATCACAGAGTTGCCTGCTGGAGTGCCATAATTGACGCGGTTTTCCGCCGTATTGGCATTGATTGTGGCACCTGAGCTGGCAACTCTGCCGGCACAGAGTTAAAAAAATGTTTTCTCTAGCACTTTATGGTTTTATTCAATAAAACACAAGAGAAAAGCAAACGGAAATGTAAGTCCCGATTTTAGTTGACACGTTGTTTTTTTGACTGTATATTTTTGATTAGAATGAATAAGTTTAAGCAGATCTGGCGTTGATAAGAAATAATTATAAATTTCAGTGCATGATAACGACGAGTTTAAGCGAATTTTTAACTCAGCTGCAATCATTTCTGTCGACATACGATTTCTATTATCGTTAAATAAATGTTTCATGGAAGAAAATGCACTTTCGACGTATGAATTACTGCACAGAATCGAAAATATAAACGAAACTAATTTGTGCATGTTTGGAGATGATGTTGGTTTGATAATAGGATGAGAAAGAGAATCCTCAATAGATAGACATTCTTTTTTTAAATGTTATATGTAAACAGGAGAAAAACAACAAAAGCAGACAATTCTCAAAATGCGGACAAATAACGGACAGCGGACAAATTGCGGAAAAAACAATCTTATTTTCTATGGCACCACGATCAATATTCTAAGCAAGCAATCAGAAAATAGTTTTATCGTTGAAACGTTTCTTCCTATAGAAAACATTTAACTATAAAATTCCAAGTTATAAGTTGGGTTCAAGGCGTCTTAAATTAAGACACCTGTTCTCGTATCACTCTCTGTCTTTGCTGATAACAATCAGAAACGCGTAAAATAACAGTCTTTGTTTGTGTACTCTATCAAGTATCTAAATTTCTCCTTCGTCGTTCTCAGAATTGCAGATTTCTTTATAGAAGCTCGATACTAAACACAGTGGATTTAGTTTTGTAGTTTCTACAAAGCTTAGTTCATGTGTTCGAATCTCTATTCGTACAAAACTGATTTTGTGTTTTTCGATAATTTTAGTTTAGAATACTATAATGGAATATTTTTCCACTTGTATTCTGCCAGAATAAAGCTTATATCAACACATGGTTGACTAGCCCACAGCCTTATGAATTTTACTCTTAAATACAAGCTACTTTTTACACATATCAAAGCTTTTTGAGGAGCTTTTAAACAATAGTCACAACTCTAAAAAACTGATTTTGTTATGAAATTTTAGTATTTCGGTAATGTTGGAATTACCGAGGATTTTGGTAATATCAATTTGTACAGTTTGGGACTAGAACAAGACGTCTTCCAACAGTGAGCGATACTTCAATTAAAAGTTACATCAGTGAGGAGACGAAAACCTGTATAATACACTAATACCACCATATCTCAAAAGCGACTTTTCTTCTGAGCGTCGAACACCAGTTAAGAGATTCCCTCGTCAAATCAAGTACTTTTTCATCTTAAATTCAAGTTCAAACTCGTAATATTGGCTTAATAGAGCCGATTTAGACTATAGTTTGATGCAATTCTTTTGTAAAAAAGATTTTAAGCATTTCACTCATAATGCCACTAGAAAAAGTTTGAGTGAAAATATCGGAAATCCGCCTATGTTATGCCATTCTCGCATGTATATTTCATATTTTAAGATCAACCTACGCTGGGAAATCTTCTAATCGGCGGTGTCTCCATTTTTATCAGTATTTTGACGATATTGCCTCAGCCAAGGAAAGCTAAAAATAGGAGGGAGGGGGCTAAAAACCTGTCATTACCATACCCCACATAGTCAACATTTCTTGAAATCTTTGTGAAAATCCGACTTCTGGTAACAAAGAATGAGTTAAACAAAGTAGAATCAATAGGTTTTTATTTCAAATGTAAAAATCAATTTTATTTTAGAAAACAACACAGCACATATAATTTGTTCATTTACACCTATTTATTAACTGTTTGAATACAGTCAGTATAATATGAAAATAATAACAAAACTTGGCAAGCACAAGTGGTAAAACAACAACAATAATCTAATTGATCCTAATAATAGAGAGACTAAACACTATGTAAACGAAAAAATAATAGAAAAATAGAGAACATAACTCATAAACATGAAAAAACTTAATTTCATTCCAGCTACTGTTCAAACAGCATTTTTGACAAGCACAAAAATAAAAGTAAAAAAATCATATAACAAATACTAACTAAAACGTAAACAACGTGCACAACTACATACAAAAACGGTCAATATAAATTTTGTGTGATTAGTTAATCATTTAAACAAATATGATACTTAATATACAATTTAGCACCATTTGATGATCGTTGCAAAAGTAATATTAAATTTTGCCAATTAGAAGATGAAACACCGCCAAATCCTGCTGATAAATTCGTTGAACAAGATATTGTGACAAGCGAATTTAATGATGACGATATTGTTGTTGTTTTTGTGACAGGAGCCATTGTAGAAAAACGCTGTTGTTGCTGTTGACGATCAATCAAAGAAGAAACGGGAAGCTCAATATAGCCAAGTAAACCTGTGTTAAAAAATATGTCATAGAAATAGGATATAACGATGAATTATTAGATAAAATACTTACGATCAATTGAAAATTGTTTTCGATCATATATTGAACATTTTATGATGTTTTTATTTAAATCACAAATAAAAAACTCAAATGATACATTCCATTCTGGAAATACTGAATCGTAAAGAACGGGTGTTATTTGACGCTGATTATTGTTCATTTCAACAATACAATATGGATTGTTACCTAAAAGAATACGCATTCTTATGATTATATACTCAAAAGCAGGCATGGGCGAGTCCGGGGGGAGGGTACCGAGTCCGGGAATCTTTTAGATTTTTTTTTTGATGAGGGTGGTTTATATTTTAATTTGCAGAGCCCTGAATAGATATTTGAAAATAAGGTTACGTTCCGTGTCCGTCTCCCGAAGAAAATTTTCAATTTCCTGTAAAACAGTAGGTGTTGTTATTTCGCTTTTTATTTTTCTCTGTTCATTTGTGTTAGAAGTTGAATAGATCGGACTCGAAATACAAAATCTCCAGTCCGAGTCCGTCAAAAAATCTTCCAGTCCGGACTCGGACTCGCCCATGCCTGCTCAAAAGCAGTCAAAACTGAAGCTAAGAGCGATTAAGTCCTTACTATTCTCATTGCATAACATTTATCTTTAAGAAAAGTCTAAATTTAATATATAAACTTTTGAGACCCTTCTCCTGCGCAATTCTTATGAAGAAAAAATAGACAAGAATGACTGACCATCTCTCCTACCATTCTTGTCTACACCGGAATATGGTAAATTTGATGCCCAAACAATTTGTATTACAACTTTTCCAATAGATGGGCGTTTTGTCACATCAAAATCTACAATAGTAAAAGTTGAAAAAGAATCGTTAATCAAGAAACAATGAAATCCTACTTGATATAGGTGAATGTACAACTGTGGCCAAACGACGTTTTTGTCGACAAGTGTCAACTGCTTCACTAATACATTTTGTCCATAGCATACTTAAAAAATCAAACATGTTTTCATTGAAAAAATCTCACAAATATAATAGTTTCTATACCGTTCATTATTATTATTAGTATAAAAAATCATTTGTCTTCCACGATATAAAATTTGAAATGCATTTTCTTGATATGTGCTTAAACAATTTATTTCATGCAACATAATTGGCTGTAAAAATAAGAGAAAGATGGTGATATTACCGTGTACTCACAATTTATTAACGAATCATTCACCTTTTTGTATACAATCAAATCTAAATAGTCTGATTCTGTTGATTCAAACCAATCTTTTGTAGAATAATGATTAGTAGATGATGATGACCGTTGTTGTTGTTGATAACGCTCGTTTGTTTTCTTAATTATTAATAATATTTTCATTAACAAAGGTCGTTTTATACGTGTAAGCAAGAGAAAATCACTGAATAACATTGCATAAAGTAAACGAGACGATTTTGCCTAAAAAACGAAAGAGTCATTATAGTTTGTACGATATTCAATAGAGATGACATTCTAACAAGATTGAACAAAACAAATTTGTTACTTACCAATTTTAAATGTCCATAATGAATGAGATTTCGTTGAACACCATAATGTGTTAATGAATCAAACATAATTGTCTATGTGAAAATTAGTTGTTATTGTTTTTTTATGAACCAAAAAATATGTACGTTACCTCATTTATTTTTTTACAATCGACATGTTTTTGTATCCATTCAAATTTTGTTCGATTCATTTCTTCGCCAAGAGCATCATTTACCGTTTTACGTAATTCATTTGATTTTTCTAATGATAAACGAAGTTTACTAATATCCTTATGATCGCTTGTAGTACCTTTTAGAATCTAAAATAGACAACTAAAATTGTAAGCATCATAAAGTTTCACTAGTCAATCTATATCACCTGTGAAATCATAAACGGATATTTAGCAACTCTTTGTAATGGTAACGTTAGAATATTGGCATCGCCAAACGTTCCAATTCCATAACTATTTCGTTTTGTTTTCTATGTTTAAAAAAGAATCTGAGTCTGAGTAATGTATACGAGCTTTTATGTTCGTGCATACTTGCATAAACGTACGAAATTCTATACAATTATTCAAACTATCACGAAAACATTTGACAGATGTATGATGAAAACGAAAATACACCTCGTATTCAACAATCAATTGTGGTAACTGAAAGAAACAACACAACATTTTTTCAATTTTTTTCCTTCTTCTGTACAAAAGTAGATGACGTACAAACTGGCAAAGAATATCACCAATTTGTAAAGCATCGCCATCAGTTTTCAAATCGGATAATAATGTGCTAAAATAAAAAGAGCAAAACAGGATATTTTATAGATGTAATAAATTAACTAAAACTCAAAAGTTACAAAGAAGAAAAATAGGTAAAAATGAGCAACATGCTTCACTACATGATTACTTTACTAATTTTTCATGACAACGTGTTAATGAACGCCAATTAACAAATAAAGCGTCGACATGTGATGATGTTAAAATTTCACATTCTTGCATGGGTATTATGTACATCTAAACATTGGAAAGTAATAAAAGTAGGCAGTGAGGTTTTACACACAAATTTACCTCAAGAATACTGTTCATATCATGTACAAAACGTTGTTCGGTTGTAATTAGTTCGATAATGGCAACATTTCGTGGGTTTAAATCAATAAAATTTTTTGATGAAATCGATATGTTCTCTGGAGCATTAATTGTTCGTACATCAGTCATATTTCCACTTGTTTGTATTTTCTCTGGCGATGATGATGATGATGATGTTGTCACCAATACAGAGCAAGATGATGTCGGTGTTTTTCGGCATTGTTGAGATGGACGAATAAAATGATTTTTGCCGTCTAGAACAAAAAAAATACCAAGAAAAGTACAGAAAAATTCGAGAGCATCAATACTCTTACTTCTTAAAATGTATTCTCGACTAATATATTGAACATTAACTGTTCTCATTAATAATGATGCATTTCCAGTCTCATTTGAAGATGAATTTAATGTAGACAATTCATCACAAAGCGTTTCATCACATGGACTATGTGAAGAGTATCCCGTCATATCTAAAATAGCACAAATCAAGCACCAGACTCATTTGAAGAGACGTTTGCTCATCATTCATCTTTATCGCATCCATAATTTCAGAGCAAATAGAGAGTTTGACTTTAGTACAATTAAATAAACTCAGTTTGAGTTCATATGAGCGCATCTAAGAATAGTCTGCACCATGTGTGTTTTGTATAGTAATTATCATGAAGCACCTTAACTCTTAAGAAACAAAACTGTATGAAATACGCGCCCATATGAATGTAACTTAATTGGTGATATGATGGAACTAATGGCGGGAGCAAATGAAACAATCAGAGTCAATTAATATCACAGCCCGTCACATTACGATTAAATATTAATTAAAGTTTCAGGCTACATTTTCTTAAAACGTCAATTTAGAGTTTCAGTCAAAGTAAAGTACGGCCACTTTTTTGGTGCATGCGCGGCTGGCGTCTTGGATCTAACAATG